GTGTGTGTGAGAGAGAGAGAGAGAGAGAGAGCGAGAGAGAGAGAGAGAGCGAGCGAGAGAGAGAGAACGAACGTGAGTGAGCGTGAGTGAGAGAGCAGTATCTCAGGTAATATCCTGAGATATTACCTGGAAAGTCTGACCCTCCTCAGATCCCGGGACTGTCACCAGGTGTTGGCTCTGCCTCCGTGTTTGTTTGCCTTCCCTACTTCTCCGCAAGAGGACTTGCTAGAATCGCAGTTTTCTTCCTCCCTTTAAGAGCAGCACAGACTGAAGACTTGGGGCTGGAGCACCCTGTGCTCAGGCACTGGAGCCAGGAAGATCTGTGGGCTTTTCACAGGCAGTGTCTCCTGGGACCGAATTCCAGATCTGTTAGTTAGAGCCACGATGGATCGGATGTCCAACCTGGTAGCTGTCCCCTCTAGGCCTTGGATCCTGAGTCCCAGCAGTGTCAGGAACACCTGTGTTTCAGAGTGACCAGGCCCAGGAATCCTGGTACCCATGCCTTGGGTGCGGGAGTGGGTGGGCTCCATTTCCTGCGACCCTAACCTGCTGTGGAGTCCATACACTCTAATCAGATTCCAGTCTCCATAAAGAAAGCCTACAATTCCCCAGCCAGTCAATAGTTTAAATGAATCGAACAGATTTGGCGTAGGGTGGGCCACCCAATCAGTCTTCTAATTCCTATAGTTCTGTATGTAGTAAAAGTAAACAAACTTGTTTCCTGTGACTTGAGAAGGTAAAGATATGTCTGGTCTATAAAAATCTGTAGAAGTAATAGGGGCCTCTGCATGCAACATTCATTAAACTTTTGTAAAATTGTGAAACAGCACATAAAAAAGTATACCAAACACAAAGAACAATTTTCTCATGGTTTTACCAGCTATGCAGATATGCATAAACCACGTATTATTTATATTTGGCAGTTTTTGTCTTTTATACGAATGGAACAATTTAGCCTCTTCCCCCCAGTATTATGTTTTTACATTCATTCATATTGTTATTTGTAGTAACCGATGACCAAATATCTTCCCTGACTGCTCCTTTCCCTTTTGGTCTCATTTCTTTTAAAAAACTCAGCTATATCTGACTCCAGTTATAAAGTTACAAGTGCTATCACAATCATAGGTAAGCTTTATCAGGCATTTTCATTGGGCCAGGT